ATGATTAGCCAAATTTAAGGATGGGAGAAGTATGCTGTCCCCCCCATGTGATAACTTTCATAGTCTCCTCATCTAACCAGCTTTTAGGCTGAGCATAACATTTATGTGTGCCAGAATTTTGTAAGTTCTTTGGAATCATTTTCCTTTGCTTCATCCTTTACATCCTTTGTTGCATGACCCTAAATTTTACCCTCAACTTATCCAAGGGTAATATCAAAATCCATAATTTTGGCTATCAAACCTGCCTTTGACTTATCCATGAGGTTGATTTATATATGAGTATATACAGTAGCTTGACATATTTGTAATGATTCTACAGACTTATTACCTGTGAAAATCTCAGTATGTATGGATGGTCTTTTTATAATAAGAAACAGGGAGACACATTTTTCAACATCTAAATCATGTACAGCTAGCGGAACATTCAATCTAGGCAGGCAGTACCAATTCTTATAGCAATTCTTATAGCAATAAGTATAGCAACTCCTGTGAGGAAAGTTCCATTCAAAGCAAATGTATAGTTTTAAAGAGATGCCTTTTTTCTGCTGGATGTAGGAACACTATTTATTTATTAGATTTATATTCCATCTATCCTCTTCTAAATGGGTTCAGGTGTATTAAATAAATTTCCTGCAGCATTCTATACTTGAATAAACTTGAAAACTGACAGTGTACAAAATAACTATTCCTCACTCCCTACAGTAATAACACAGGAGAAATCTCAGTGAAAGTTAATTCGAACTTTAATGTTTACTTTGAGTCTATTTCAGGGGTTGGCAACCTGCGGCCCGCGGAGGCCTTGGGACTGGCCTATGGCTGGTCCCGTCGCCGCCACCACTGCCTTGTGCGCCATGCGTGAGTGCCATTTTGGCATCCAAAATGGCGGCCACACTTGCGCATGCATGCATGCGAGCACGGGCGCCATTTTGGAAGGCCACAGCGCACGTGCTGGGCCCTGGGTAGGCCCCAGCGTGCCTACTCCGGGCGAATTCGCCTGGCGCACACGCGCTGCGGCCTTCCAGAATGGCGTCCATGCTCATGCGCAAGCGCAGCTGGACCTTTCAAAATGGCGCCATGTGCACACACATGCGCATGATGGTGGGCATCGTGCGCATGCGCACGTGGGGGGAGTGCATGCGCACGCAAGCGCACGCCCGCCCGGCCAGCCCCCGTGCCATTTCCCCCCCTCCGGCCCCCCGGCAACAAATGTTGCCGACCCCTGGTCTAGTTGATTCAAATCTATTACACACTGGATTATAAACAATTTCAAAATAAAAGTAAAAAAGAGAACATGAAACATAATACAATGGGTTGTAATATGTATCTGTATGCAATCAACTGTAGAATCCACCACTCTATTGCATTATATATCTTTTATTTCTGGCAGTAACAGCAGACAAATTTTGAAAATAGAAAAAATATTTAACAAACAAAACAACAAAAATACATTTTAAATTATTCATAAAAAAAACCCCAACACCCCCCAATATTCTAAGACAGCGTGGCTATTTTGAGGTTTTCAATGAGAAACAGGAGTCCACTGCCTAATTTCTGCTATTGAGAACACAAAGAATAAGAGAAAACTACCTCAAACCACAGCAGGAAGCCTGATCTCCAGCACTGGATTAAGCTTCTTTGCAAACAGCAAATAAAGGCAGTGATCTGAAAAAGCTAATCAGTCCCTGCTGTGGTATTTAGACTACCTCAGTTACTGGTATTGGATAATGTTAAGCATATTAAAAACATCTGTAGGTGAGATGAGGGATCCCAGACTGGTTTGCCAAGTTGTAAGTACTACCTTTTTAGTCCTAGCAGTATCAATATTAGTATGGTAATTTCTTGGCTGCTTTTTACATAGTTAAAAACTTGCTTATTTTTTGAGAAAGATGAGATAAGTAAAGGAAAAAAATATATAATGTTAACCACAAAGCCTTCCTGGGAAAATAACATAAGCAATATACTTAAAGGTTCTATGATATGTGGATTTCTTAAAGGTTCTATTGATTTCCGAGCACAGTATAAGGTGTTGGTGATTACCTATAAAGCCCTACATGGCTTGGGCCCAACCTATCTAGGGGATCCCCTCCTTCTATACAATCTGCCCCGCATCCTCAGGTCCTCTGGGAGGAATTTGCTGCAACCTATAAAGACCAGATTAATGGTAACCTCCCAGAGGATTTTTCCGCGGCTGCTCCCAGACTATGGAACACCTTGCCGGAAGAGATCTGTCAATTAACCAGCTTAGACAACTTTAAAAAAGATGTCAAGACAGATCTCTTCCGGCAGGCCTTCCCTGAATAGATCTATCTAACCTACTCTGTGCTCTCTCCACTTTATGCATCCACTGGTGTTACCAGAAAAAACACTATTTTAATATTACGTTGTTATTTTAGGTTTGTATTTAGCTCTTTTAAAGGGGTTAATTATTGTTACTATTATTATTATTGTTTTAATGCAGGCTATGTTTAATTTAAATCCAATTTTACTCCATGTAAGCCATCTTGATTTTCATGGCAGGAAGGCGGGATATAAAAATAAAGTTGTTTTATTATTATTATTATTATTATTATTATTATTATTATTATTATTATTATTATTAAATATTAATATTATTATTATCAGTGGAGGTAATATCTTTTTAATTCTTTAAGGTTCACGAAACGCATCTGGTAGTAGATTGAAGTCAACAGTTTATTTAATAACACAGTTTTAGGTGGATATATACAAAAGGCTATGACATATATATAAAAACTCACTAATAGGGAGCAAGCACTGTTCCCAAACTATGTATGTGAAACTTGGTCTTTGTATCTTACTTCAGTGTTCTAGGCATTATTGTAACAATGGAATATGTCAAGATGTTTTAGAACATGGCTCAGAATGTTTTCTACATATTTAACTGAACTTGAAATCATAAGAAACGTGCCAATTTTATGTTTAAGCAACCTGTTTTCTTTAACATGGCTCTACCTCATTTAGGCTTTATTGCCATTTTCTGACTTTTGTCCTTCACTGGCCAAACACTGTGCCAACAAAACTGTTGCCAAATTGTGGTTTCAAGGTTATTTCAAACCATGATTTGGAGGTAAATCTTGGTTAGCACTTATCACAATTGTTTATTTTCAGCAAACTATGTGAAGGAAAGGAAGAATTTACATGTAAAAAGTGAGGAAGATGAGCTCATGTCACTTTCCTGGCATCCAAACCATGATTTTGAGAGGGGTTACTGTAACATTTGAATTGAGCAATGTATGTGTGGGTGTTTTTAAAGTTAACACATGAGCACATGTGATAAAGTTACACAACCATTACACTGCTGTTTAGATGCGTCATGAAAGCTGTCAGAAGCATTTCTAACATTCTTCCTGGAAAAATCTGGATATTGTCCGAATTTATAAATTCCTCAAGATAATATTATAAAATGTTTGAGTAATCATGCTGTCAGAAAAGCATTCATTTTAGGTTTATAACTAGTAGAACTTATTCTCTACTTCATACAACAAAGAAATCTAAGCAGTAAATAATGTGAATCCCTTGTCACATTGGTGATAGCATATAATGGCACACAGCAGATGGACAAAGGAAACTCTAGTTCTGCACCAAAGCCTTCAGATCCAGCAAACTGAGCAGTCTAGCCATTACTCAATGCTACATTTAAAACACAATGCTGAAATTTAGGAGGTTACTACAGGTCACTGAAAAAAAAGTGGCCTGCAGATTTGATCTAGGCTCTCTGCCTTGAGAAGCCAGAAATTCTCTTTCATCCCAGGAAATAACGTTCTATGTATCAACATTTGTCGTTATTTCTGGGTACAATCCTTGCTATAAAGCTAAAATGGAATTTAATATTCACACATAAGATCTTATTCAGTGGTTCAGTCTAAAGCCCTTGTAATCCAACACTCCCAACATAGGTTTAAACTGAAAATATTGGTGATAGCCATAGCATGCTGCTTGTAGCCAACATTTATTCTTAACCAGAAAGAACCACACTTATTAAAAAGGGTTTTCACTGTTAGTTCACAGTGACTAGTAGCCATGTTATTCTCCCTTAACGATAGAATATTTTTTGTGACAGGTTATTTAACATGCCAATCATATTTGGAGGGGGGGAATCCGTTAAATGGGACTGAGGTATATCAGCATTTTTTGCCTCTCAAAACAAAAAGGGGCATGAATAGAGTTTACAGCATTTAATAACACACCTACATGCTTTTGTATTGATATTACAGTAATAGGTATCATGCCACTTTCTTTAGAAACATATTTAGAGATAGCAAATTATTATTAATAGTAATAATAACGGCAACAACAACATTCCACCCTTTCCCCAAAACTGAGACTCAGGGCAGCCCACAACATTAAAAAAAAACAGTACAATTAAAAGTATACAAAAATTGTACATTAAAATAGAAGTAAATTATTACAATATTAAAACAAGTCACATATTAAAAGAATAAAATACAACTAAAAAGATGATTTTTTTTTTAAAAAAGTTTTAAAACAATACAACAACATCCCATGTTTTAAAAATGTTGTGTTTTAAAAGCCTGTCTAAACAGGTAGGTCTTAGCCTGCTGGTGGAAGGGTGACAAGGAAGGGACCATTCTGGCCTCCCTGGAAAGGATGTTTCACAGTCTAGGGGCAGTCATGGAAAAGGCCCTCTTATGTTCCCACCAACTGTGCTTGTGATGGTGGTGGGACGGAGAGAAGGGCCTCCCCTGAGGATACCAGAGCCTGGGCCAGTTCACACAGAGAGATATGGTCTGCCAAATAGCCTGGATCTCAGCCATATAGGGCTTTATAGGTCATAACCAACACTTGGAATTGTGCCCAGAAACAAACTGGCAGCCAGTGTAGCTGTTTCAAGAGGGGCATTGTGTGGTCTCTGTAACCTGCCCCTGTTAACAGCCTGGCTGCAGTTCTTTGGACCAGCTTAAGTTTCCGAACACTCTTCAAAGGCAGCCCAAATTATATGAAAACACTTGCAATATCAAAGAGCCAACATGGTATAGTGGTTTAAGTGTTGGACTACAACTCTGGAGACCAGGGTTCTATTCCCAGGTTGGCCATGAAACTCACTGGGTGACCTTGGGCAAGTCGCATGCTCTCAGCCTTAAGGGAAGGCAATGGCAAACCTCTTCTGAACAAATCTTGCCAAGAAAACCCCAGGATAGGTTCGATTTAGTGTCACTGTAAATTGGAAATGATTTGAAGGCACACAACAGCAACTTGCAGTATCATTCAGTATGAAAGTGGAAACTTTAGCCAAATACACACTTTTTACTGCTCCTCCGTTGTTAGGAGGAAACTTTGGAAGAATGCTGATCTACTTATCCCTTGCCAGCAGTGGATTTTATCACATGGGGAAAATCCCATACAGAAACGGGATTTAAAAGGTTGGAGAAACCCGCAAAAGCGGGTAGATTTTCACACACATTGATGTTAAACTCTGCTTAACCCAAATTGAAAGTAGTCAAAAGCCGCTTCTTTTTACTTTCAGGATTTTCCGAAAGTAAAAAGAAGTGGCTTTTGACTACTTTCCGTTCAGGTTAAGCACAGTTTAACATCAACGTCGTGTGAAAATCTACCTGCTCTTGTGGGGGGTTTTCTATTTAAATCCCTTTTCTGTATGGGATTTCCCCCATGTGATCAAGTCCAGTGGTTGCCTCCTGAGCATCCAGTCTTTGAGAATTGGCCCTTATCTGCACACACAGCTCCAAAACCCTCTGCCATGCAATTCTCCAGATTAAGGGAAGGGAAGTTTACTCAGTCCTTCCATAGAGTGACTGGAGTGATTTCTCAGCCTGCATGATGCATTTTTGCAGAAGCAGTGCTCCACTGCTTCCCTTTTGTGAAAGCCTAGTACCAAAGCAGAAAAAAACATTCCTTCTTTCTCCTAAACTGGAATAAACTCAGAAGAAAGAAGAGGTTGCTTGTTCTTGTTTCCACTAAGAGAGGATGGTTCAATGGGGGCCACTAATAAAGGGAGAATATGGAACCCTGCCTCTAGGCTACACCAGCAGATCTGCAATGTCAAATAACATCCCTCAACGTCAGCCTGATAGACTGAGCTGGCGCAGCAGCTGGCAGACTCCAGCTTAATACTTCTTTGTTGCTGCAACAATCTTAAGATTGGGTCAGCAAGTCGCACCAAGTTCAGCACAGCTAATCTGATTTATATACAAATATGTTGGTATTACATGGTTCCTGGATAATACCCTTTCATTTAGCAGATTTTTATCCAAAGAAATTAAAATCTCACACTTTTGATGGTAGTGGCGAGTCCCTACTTCAGCAAATTTTAGATTTTCATGCAAAACAACAGCCTGGTATTTATACAAACACATCTTGATCTAGATTACATTATTAGGAAATTATGTTCTTTTTTCCCCTCTTGTAAAAAAATGGGTCTTAAAATTAACAAAGAGAGCAAGATAAACTACAAACTAAAAACACAGATCAAACTAAAAACACAGAGCAAACTAAACTACAAACTAAAATGCAATGCATCTGAGGAAGTAGAGTGAAGTCTACGAAAGGTCATGTCAACTTCTTTTTGTAAGTTAGTCTCAAAGGTGCTACAAGATCTCTCTACATACTGATTCTACAGACTAACATGGCTATATATTTTAAACACACAGGAAGGCACAAATCTAAAAGAGAATCAGCTAGTGACATTTGGATTTCAACTATTTCATAGCAAAGTAATCCAGTAACTAGCTCTGCAAACCAAGCACAACTGACCCTCGAATCTAATCCAATATTATGCTTCTCACAATAGCTAAAGCAGATTGTCTCTGGAGAAAGCTTAATACTCTCCCCTCCCTTCCCTTCCCTGGCCCCACTGCCTTTTTAGTATTGTGTGGGGAGCTGGATTTTCTATGACCTCAGCTTTCATCAACAGGCCCTGAGGCAAAGCTACTGTTCACCTCTGTGATCACCCGCTAGTCAGAGGATGTGGAACACAAATTATTCACACTCAGCTAATTTAACCTTGCAAAAATAAAGTAATCTGAGTATTTTACCTGAGTAACCCACTCTCTAGGAAGTGGGGTTGAGCATGTAGTGCTGTTCTGTTTGCATGCAGATGCACAGGCAGCTGGATGCATATAGGTATTTGGCTGCTCATTTGGTTGTGTTCAGTTGTGCAGTGTTCAAACCACTATGCTCCTATTATGAGAGCAGTCAGGAAATAAAACCAATTTCATTTCAAAATGGGATACGAATACTGGGATATAAATTGGATGTAAAAATAATAAATAGGATATAAATATTGCCATGAACATAATTTTGCTGTCTGACAATTCAGTTATCCTCATTGCCTGTATCCTTTTCTATTTCCTCATGGAGTCACACCAGAATTCCAATGAAATAAGTAGTCCACCCACTATGCTCAGGGTGAAAGCCTCAGACAACTATTAAGGCATACCTCCAAGTAAGCATACCTCTTCAATGAATGACTGCATGTAATATAGCCAGTGACCCTCACGTAATCATCATTTACTTTTCTTCAAGTAGAAAATTTCTTTTGAAATAAATTCAAATTTAGGCTGAATTTAATGTGTAAAGCTTTCTGATGTCTACAATATCTTCAGATTTATGCAACCCAGATTTAAATGGTGGGTAGGGACAGAAGGAAAATATTTTTTTCCCTGAATACAAATATACCCACTGTCTAAAACTTAAAATGACTATAAATGAGGTATCACAAAATGACTATGAGAGTTCACAGAAAAGGCCTCACTGTTGAAGTTTACTTTATGCATAGTAATCAGCTTCTGTTAAAAAGAACAAGTAGCTCTTCTGAAAAATCTCAGCTGATTCATTCAAATTTCCAAACTTAATGGATCTTTCATCATAAGATAAAAATATAATAATGAATTAGAATGGCCATTACATGAGAAACCCCTTGAAGTACATTATTTAGGCATGCAGACATTTCTCTGCAAATGTGTGATTAAGTTTGCTAAACTACTCTCAAATTGGCCTTCTGTCTTCTTTTTGTTTATGGATAACCATACAATTGTGTATTCTACAATTTTGAACAATAAAGCAAAACTATGTATACAATAAATGGTATTTTAGCTGTTAACTAATTATTTTATCACACTATTCTGGTACTATCCAGAAAAGAGATGTCCACTGACAACTAAATATGCTAATACTTTCCCTAGCACATCGTACCATCTGGGATTTTCCCATATATTATTGGAGCCTATGTTGCAGAATTTTGAGCATGATTTTGCTTTCATAGGAGATCACTGTGATGGTTCTATAGTTGCTGCAGTCTTTAATGTCTCCCTTTTTTTGTGGATGGGGATGTACATTGGTTGCTTCCAATCTGTTGGTCATCATTTCATTTTCCATATCTGTTAACATTAGGTTGGTTAACACTAGAGTTGACTCTGTCAATGTGGATTGCACCGGTTCAATTGGAATATCATCTGTTCCTGGTTATTTGTTTTTCACTATTTCTCTTATTGCAGTTTCCACCTCACTTTTTAGAATATGGGGTTCATCTTCATATGGCTCTTCATTCCATGTGTCCTTTTGTCATCTCTTTTGTATAATTATTCTGTGTATTGCATTCAACGTCTTTTTATTCCTTCCTGGTCTTGAATTATGTTATTTTTATTGTCATATATCATCCCAGTCCTTAGTTTGAATTTTCTTTTGATTTCCCGGATCTTGTGAAATAGATCTCTTGTTCTTCCCTTTTTGTTGTTGTCTTCTATTTCTCTGCATTGGTCACTGTAGTAATTTTCTTTATCTTTCTACACAAGCCGTTGTACTGTTGCATTCATAATTCTTAGTTTGTTCCTATCTCCCTTTTGTTTTTCTTCTCTTCTTTTCTTTATTGTTTGTAGTGTTTTTTTCTGTCATCCACTGTATAGAAGGAACACCATTTTCCTACGCCACTGTATTTAATAGGCCTTGAGCAACCACGGATTTTGTTATTCATGTGGGATCCTGGAACAAAACTCCAGCGGATACCACGGGCCCACTGTATAGGATGGAGGATACATTACTCAGCAGTACATGCAAAAAGGACCTTGCGATTGTAGTTGATCATAAGTTGAACCTGAATTAGCAGTCTGATGCTGCAATAAAAAAGATAAATGCTAACTTAGCCTGCATTAATAGAAACATAGCTTCCAAGTCCAGGAAAACAACAAACCTCTCTATTCTGTACTGGTCAGGCCTCATCTGGAGTACTTCGTTTAGTTCTGGGCACCTCATTTTAAGAAGCATATAGACAAGTTAGAGAAAGTTCAGAGAAGGGCAACAAGGATGATAAGAGATATAGAGAACAAAATACATGAAGAACAGTTGAAGAAGCTGGGCATGTTCAGCTTGGTGAAGAGTAGACTGTGAGGTGATATGATTACACTCTTTAAATACCTCAAGGGTTGCCAAGAGGAGGAGGGGGCAGACATGTTTTCTACTGCCCTGGAGGGTAGGACAAGGTCTAATGGTTTGAAGTTATAAAGGAGTAGATTTCAACTGAATATTAGAAGGAACTTCTTGCCAGTAAGAGCTTTGGCAATGGAATCAAATGCCTAGAGAGGTGGTAGTGTCTCCTTCTATTGATGTTTTCAAAAAGAGGTTGGACAGCTACCTATTAGGGATGCATTAACTGGAGATCATGCATTGGGCATTGGCTTGGACTTGATGGCCGATGAGGCCCCTTCCAACTCTATGATTCTATAACTCTATGAGCATCTGCCTGATAAAAGTTGCCTGGTTTTGCTAGTTTCAGAAGCAGGCAATTCCCCCCCTCCCCGCCGCAAAAAAGATTAAAGAAAATGTCATTAGTAGAACAGCAAAAAATATTTTTTCTCCATTATTCTTCCACAGTGTCAAGCAGACATAATGTACTCATTACCATAAAAAGAACTGAGAAAGAAAACCAAGACAAGGGATTTTATTGATCTGATGCTGTATACAGTCTTAAAGTTTTTAGAAATGATTTTGGGCAGTGAGTATGTGGACATTTTGTCTTCAATATTTTTATTCACCATTGTAAAAGAAACCAGGGTTTTGTTTTTCCATTTTGGGGGGAGAAAA